CTTTGTGCCTTAGGAGAAAAACATCTGCCACTACCTAAGGTTGAACGCTCAACCTTCCAAGTGGGAGGTGAACGTCCCCATGCCGCTCTACCTTCTAACATAGTCAGTGTCCTTTATTGTGTCCACATTTTGACTCACTTCACACCTGACAACAACCTGGTGTTCAACCTCTATCTTCTTCCATTCCGGGGTCCTCGGGCAGATTCAACTTGCCTGCTGTGTCTAAAATGCAGTTCAGCATCTTGGATGTCCCGCTCACTCCTGACCTAACAGGGACCGGGGGAGGGGGATCTCCTTACCTGCAGCGAGACTTGCCACGGCCAAGAACCACGAATGGCATTCACCCCGTTGATAATTCTGTCTTTCACATTGGGTTTAATGGATGGGGTCCCACAACCTATGACAAGACAAAGAGAGAGTGAATCTGTTAAGTATCTCAGGTCTGGACTGAGTAGCCTTCTGTGATGGACAGGAAGCTTGGGGAGGATTGTTCAGATTTGTTCCCTTGCTGCCTACTCTTGACAAGCTCAGAGGAACCAACAGCTACAGGCAAAGGATTGGTTGTTACGCATTAGGCTACGGAATAGGGGCACTTTTATTTTTCATGTTGTGAATGCCCTAATTGGCCTTTGAGATTTGATGCATGTGGCAGGGCTCACATTCTGAAAATTTGCAAGACAAAGTAGGGCAAAAGTGGACCTGATTTAACTCCCCGTGAACGTCCATTTCAATCTAAGTGAACTCTCCTCAACATTGCTTCCTATGCATTTAATCATATGATCGTCTACATATAACACTAGATAGCAGAGCAATTTTTAATAAAAGGCACTGGTGGAGTTGGAAAAAGCATTCGAAGGAAGGCAATGGCAGGGCTGTTTTAACTGCCAGGAAACTACCTGGATGCCTCCTTGACATCATTGACAGTTCCTCTTTGAAGAAGAATACCAGAACCCTGCCCCCCTGCTGTCCACCCCCCCACCCCGAGTTGTAGCTGGAAGCACTCTGCCTTTCCCAGCCTGTTGCTCTTTTTTGCACGGGAAGACCTTCGTGCAAGCAGGCCTGTGAATTAAGCAACGTGTGTTGTGTGCTTGTGCCTAATGTGTTGCAAGCAAAGAATTTAGCATTCTTCCCCCCATAGGAATTGCATACTCCATCAGTCGTGATGAAAGAATAGGAAGTAACCAACCAACCAACCTAGAAAGGCGACACATGTTTTACTCACCACAGGCAGCATCAAGGAGTGCTAAGTAAGTAAGAGCCAGCCACAGGAAAGTCATTTTGGTTGCTACTCCCAGGAGCTTTCGGTCCCCGGCTGCTGCTACTGTAGGTTTTTATTGCTATGACCCGTGGCACTACGCCAGGTGTAGTTGACTTCCCCTCCCCTCATCCTTGGATTGATGATAGTAGGAGCAGACTAAATTTAGTTTTGGTTGCATGACGCAGGTGTCTTGTCAAGGACGTTTCACCAACAGTGCCACAGAGTTTGCAAATAACACCTGTTTCCCATAACGGTTTTTTTTCTTTCTTTCAAGCTGAACAACAGACTCAAAGGTCTATATTGGCCGTTGGTAAAGTTTCAGGCTTGGCTTAATCATCACCCCTGTCTTCTTTTCACCCAACCATTTCTAAGCCTTCGCTTCTTTCTCTGGGGGTCTCCCGTAACATCTTATCATCCTTTCTCCAGGAAACCTGGAGTCTCTAACTGGGGCCCTTTCTGGGAACGCCGTGTGTCGTTGCCTGTGATTTAGCTCCATTCTGTAGACCTGCTTTCCTGGTGATGCCACTGCAGATGTCAAAACAGAACACTTACTCAACTTTTTAGGAATTGGGCCATAGGCAAGCATTCTCTGAAAGGAAGTGGGCTGGAGAGAGAAAACCTGTTGCTCATGTATGTCTTTTGCAAAACCAATGGGGATGTCCTAGTTTGAGTTAAAAAAAAAAATCCTCTTTTTAAAGGAAACTGGCCCCTGCCAAAGAGATTTTCTTCTTCTTCTTCTTCTTCTTGGGGATCTTATTGACTGAGTGGGGATCCTGTGCATTTGTCCTGAAGCTGTCTTACCTTTATACGAGACTATATGGACTCACGATGAGCCTCCTTCAAGGGACACCAGCCAACCAGACTACGGAAGCTCTGGAGGCCAAAGTGATTCCCACCGTGTTCCTCACTGTGTGCTTCCTGATTGGGGTTCCTGGCAATGTTCTTGTGATCTGGACCGTCCTTTCCAAATTCCCCCAGCGCTCCTTCACCATTGCCCTCATCCTGAACTTAGCTGTGGCTGACTTAATGGTAATGCTGACTGTGCCTTTCTGGACTTACTATTTCATCAAAGGTTGGGTTTTTGGGGACTCGATGTGCCGGTTCCTCATGTACCTTGTGTATGTGACAGTCCACACCAGCATCTTCTCCATCACGTTAATCAGCCTCCACCGCTTCGCGGCCGTGGTCCTTCCACTTGCTTCCCAAAGATGGCGGAAGCCGAGGGAGGTGCATGTGACCATGCTAGCCGTTTGGTTGCTAGCAGGGGTTCTCTCCTGCCCGTCCTTGGTATTCTCATCCAGAGAGATGCCTAAAGGAAAATGCTCGGATGAATTTTATGACACTGAGAACCAGCGCCTTGCGGTGAACATAGCGGAGACACTGTTTGGCTTTGTGATCCCTTTTGCCGTGCTGGCAGTCTGCTACACTTACGTGGCGAGGAAGATTCGGACCCTGAAAAACCACAAGGAAATGAAAACCGGGAAGCTGATCGCTGCAGTAGTCGGAGCCTTCTTTGTTTGCTGGCTTCCTTATCACATCTTAAACCTCATCACCATCTCTGCGTTGCTGTTGAGGCATGCCAAGCCCAAGGTCAGCCAGGACTTACTTGAGTCCATTCAAATGTTAACCAACATTCATGGGGCGGTGGCCTTTGTAAGCAGCTGCCTCAACCCTATCCTCTATGCCTTTGCAGCACGGAGTTTCCGCGGCGGGCTACGCGAGACTAATTTTGCAAAACTATTTGAAAAACTGCGCAACGACACCGAGGAAAAATGAACTAAGGACAATACTGTTTCCATGCAGACTTCGTAGTTCGAGAACAGCCGGGAGCAAACTGGATAGTAAAACTCTTATTTTCTGAGTTGAATGTAATGGTTGCATCTAGAAAGGACTATAAGGGAAGGTTTTAGAGATGTTGAGGATAGAGAAGCTGAGGTGAGAACAAAGGTCTTCAGAGAACTGTTTTAGTTGGGAATATTGGCGATTCCATGATAGCAATTTGGGTTGGCTTTATTTTCTCCTGTGTACCTTGTTTGATTATTATTGTTTCATTTGTTTTCCCCAAGTAGTTATATTGCTCTACTTCTCCCCTCAGACCAATCCTACAGAAGGAATTAGTAATGTTTGCTTCTTATGGCTTACTGTATCCAGGTCTAACCTAACTGTTGTTAGACCTTATTCGAATTTAAAGAGGATGCACAAACAAATTTTAGCTCATTATCCCGACTTATCTGCTTAATTAATCTTGAATTAATTTCTGGCTTATCAATAACAAAAGGAATTTAGTTCATAGGGAAAAGTGTCTCCCAGCTGAGTCAAAGCAGGCAAAGATGCTCTATGAACACAGTAACTCTTCCCCTTCCCCCCCCCATTTATAATATTCAAGGTGATAATGGGACACTGAGGAACCACCAACAAGTATGATGTGTTGCTGGTACAGTATTTAATAGAAACACTGAAGTAAAACCTTCTCATCTTTCTTCAACTTCCAATGAGAAGTTGAAGGAGAAACACATGGTTTGCCCTTCCTGCCAAGTCATGGTTTATTTTTGCAAGGTTTGCCACCATTAGTTGAGTCATACAACTGATTAAGTCATGATGGTTGTGTTCACACACCATGCGGTACCAACCTCAAACCAGATTATAGTTTAGTGCAATGTATGAATTTCTTCAGTGACTCAGGCGTGGCTACATAAAATCATATTTTAATGTGGATCGGATCAATGTGAGATGAAGCACTTCCGTGCATTTGTTGAATTCCCCTTGAGTGGTAATACTACCACCAGAAAAAAATCCAATTAGAACCTGATAAGGTATAAGGGTCTGGTAAACAGTTCCTGAAAAATGCATCTTTTGTGGTCAAATTTCCTACTTTACTTCTGCAATGCATTACTTCCTATTGTGATTTCAAATATTATACAGCAAGAACCTGTTTTTCTTGGTGGTGGTTAATAGACAGGATTGGCTACCAGTTTTCTTGATATTTATAGTCTCTGGAACCAAATCCCATTCCACTAAGTCTTTAAAATAGTTAATTAAAACATTTTAACCCAATTCCAACTGTTGTTTGCTTTCTTCCTGCTTCTCAAGACAATTCACGCTCAGTATTTTATTTATGAGGGGTGTATTGTTTTAATTCTGCATCACTTTGAACAATTGCAAAGAACGGATGTAAAAAGCAGCTAGTGACTAACAGTGGGGCTGCTGCTGACCATTAATAAGTGCCCCACATTATTTCCCACAGTATATGGAATATAGCAAATATGGCTGTCCCAGAAAATCAAGTTGGCTACTGCAGTTGGAAACGGAATGGAACACAATTCAGTTACTATTTGTCTGAAAAATATGTGTGCAAAAATCACACTAGACTCTTCTGTTGATGCCTCTTATCAGTTTCATGGATTGCAGTTGCTGGTGATTACCTGAAGTTAAGGCTTTCTATGGCTAGTAGCTAGGATGGCCATAGATTATTTTCAGTACAAGAGGAAACACAGTTCTTGATAACAATTGATGGGGAACATGAGCAGTAGGATATTATGTCCCTTGGTTGGTTTCTCCTAGGCATCTATTTGGCCATTAAAGAACACAGAGCTAGTCCAGATTAACCTTTGCTCTGATCTATCAAGGCTGCTCTTATGATTTTTTGCATGTGCCTGTTGTTGAAGGAAAAGTCTTCATCAGGGTCCAGTCCAAGCCGGGAATAAACAACATGGTGACTGCTTTAGAAAGAAGGTTGTCGTTTATTGAAGAAGAGAGCCAGACAGAAAGATGGCTCTGGAAGAAAAGAGAGTGAGCCCATGTAGGGAGTGGGTTTTTATACCTTCTTGGGCTTTTGTTTGGAGTTGTTCCTGTGTCATGAACTTTGACCTGAGTCTGAGTGTGCCTTTCTAGTATTCTGATGGTGGTGGGTTAATCCTATTATGCCCTGTCTTAGAGTTTGGGTGGGATATGTAGATTTTAAGGATCTCAGTCTTCCTGATCTCTTCAGCTTCTAGCTGGAGGGCTCCAACCTTCCTGAATGGATTATTACATCTGCATTTCTAAAAGCTGGTTTCTACTGAGTTGTCTGGCTGGGGTGTGTGTGTGGAGAAGTTTCTGCCTTTTTAAAGATCTTCTCCATTATTTTTTTTTGGGGGGGGCAAATATATTCTGCATTTTTAATATCCCCAAAAATATTTCTTTTCTCTGGATTGTTCCCACACTGTGTTGTCATCTCACTTTAAATCATATATTCTTGACCTATGCTTGGGAATGCAGAGTTTCAAGTACATCCTAACTTAGTGGGTAGAAGAATTTAGTTCATATGGAAAAGTGTCTCCCAGCTGAGTCAAAGCAGGCAAAGATGCTCTATGAACACAGTAACTCTTCCTCTTCCCCCCTCCCCCATTTATAATATTCAAGGTGATAATGGGACAGTGAGGAACCACCAAGGACTTCTCCTCCCTTCCCCAGTCTGAAAACTTGCTTAGAAGAATATTTGTGACAGTAGGTGATTGGGAACAAGTCTGATGTGTTGCTGGTACAGTATGACTCAGAGGAACTCTTTTACTCCAAAATTATTGCATGTAATAGGATAAACAGTGAAGTCTGTCCCAAAGGTTTAACATAGCCAGGGCAAAAGTATTAGAAGGAGGCTGCGGAAGCGTTTCCCAACTCTGCATTACTAACCATTGCAAAAGAGTTTCTTTCACACGGCTCTTTCTTTTTCTTTTACAAGACTCTTTAGACGTTCTAGATCTGCAAGTCAGTACAGACTAATTGCAGTCACAAGGCTAACTGGATAAACTCTGGCTCGGTGGCAGTTGTTTCGTCATTAATGCCAGGACACTATTTATTTTCAACTCTGTCCAGTAAAGAAGCTGAATTTCAGCACTGCCGCGTGGAGAATGGGGAGCGATAGTCATGACACAAAAAGAGAGTTGGATTGTCCATCTCCCTTAAGGCCTGGAGTGCTGGTGTTTGAATACTAACCTCTTAGTAAGATCCGGACTGGATGCTTTCTTGCCAATGAAGCATTTGCCAGGAATGTAGCAATGTAAGAGGTAAAGCTCTCAATCCAAAATAGCAGACATGTCAAATTTGCGAGGTCATGTGACGTCGCGCAACGTATCAGGATGGTTTTGCCATTGCCGGCGCAGCTTCCATGTGATGTATCCAGCCCATGGGCCGGCAGTTTGACACCCCTGAGCTATAAGATCTTTTCCCTACTCAATTACATCTGGCCCCAAGCTTTGAACTTACTAATTTACAGGCTTTCTTATAAGAGATAAAGGTAAATATATCTAAGGGCTGCCCCAAAGAAGAGGGAGTCAAGCTATTCTCCAAAGCGCCTGAAGGCAGGACAAGAAGCAACGGGTGGAAACTGATCAAGGAGAGAAGCAACCTAGAACTAAGGAGAAACTTCCTGACCGTTAGAACAATTAACCCGTGGAACAACCTGCCTCCAGAAGTTATGGGTGCTCCAACACTGGAAGTTTTAAAGAAGAGATTGGACAACCATTTGTCTGAAATGGTATAGGGTTTCCTGCCTGAGCAGGGGGTTGGATTAGAAGACCTCCAAGGTCCCTTCCATTATTCTGTTCTGTTAAAGTTTTCCTGTGACTAGTCATGCCTGACTATAGGAGATGGTGCTCATCTCCGTTTCCTAGCCGAGGGAGCCAGCGTTGTCTGAAGACACATCTGTGGTCATGTGGCCAGCATGACTATACGCCAAAGCGAAGGCAGCGCTGTTATCTTCCCATCAAAGTGGTACCTACGGTATTTATCTACTCCCATTTGCATGCTTTCAAACTGCTAGATGAGCAGGAACCGGGGAAAGTAATGGGAATCACCCTGGCGCTTGGATCTCAAATCTGGGCTGTCGGCTTTTCAGCTGACAAGCTCACCATCTTTAACCCATGAGCTGCCGTGCCCGCCTCAAGAGATACAGTAAGAGAGATACAATAACCCAAGCTGGGTTTATCAAAAATAATTCAAGAGACACAATAACTCAGGCTGGCATTTTTCATCCAATCTCCATCTTGTGTCAAATGATTCCGAATGGCCAGCTCAAAAACCCTTTTCTTGAGTAAAGTCTGTTTGATTCTGGCAGCTCCAGTTTATTTTTATTTTTTATTTTTATTTTTTTTAAAAAAAACCTGCTTCCAACTCTCAACCCTCTGTGTTTATTTCTATTAACTATTTTTCTTTCTTTGCTGCATGGAGAAACTTTCCACAATCCCACACCTGCGATTTCATTAATCAGTTTGATTTGTCCTTCCTTTCTTTCCACCACAGATCCCAAGAGAAAAGCCTTGAGGATTGCAGATGGGTGACAAGACTTTGCTGGGGAAAAACTAGTATTGCAGATAAGCCTATCTTGGGTGTATTTTAGAATCTAAAAGTTCTGGCTTATTCATGAGTATATTCAGTATCTGCTTTCTCAGGATAAAATTAGACTGTTTTAGTTCTCAACCTTTAAGTCCCTGCTTGCTTAACCAGCCTACGACTCCACAGTATATTGACCAAAAATTCAAGACTAATGTACTTTAGGGGTTAAGGCACGATAATGCACTCAGAAGACTTAGTTCTAGTCCCTATTCAGCAACAGACGCTCAGAGGTGACATTAAGCCAGGATTGCTTCATAGCCCAAACATTAATGTGATGTAGTGGTGAAGGTACTGTCCTAAGAGCCATGGTGGCGCAGTGGTTAGAATGCAGCATTGCAAGCTAATTCTGCCGACTGCCAGCTGTTCGATTCTCAGCAGTTCACGGTGGACTCAGCCTTTCATCCTTCCGAGGTCGGTAAAATGAGGACCCAGATTGTTGGGGGCAAGATGCTGACTCTGTAAACCGCTTAGAGAGGGCTGTAAAGCAGTGGTATATAAATCTAAGTGCTAATGCTAAGACCAGAGAGGTTTAGTTTTAGTCTACTGGCATCCATGGCAACCACCATGTCAGGTCCCCATTATTCGTATTCCCCATCTGTAGGAGATGACCAGGCTGAGCCTGAGGGAGGGATCAAATGCATCATAAGCCATGAGTCTCTGCGCACCTGCAAGAGATCTAAGTCCTTACAGTAAGTTCCCGCACCTTGCCAAGTTTACCAACTGAACTCCGGGCAGTGAATTCAGACAGGCTGGCAAGACGGTTGGCAGCATCGGCATTAGCACCAGCACCGGCGACAGATAGGAGCTCTCAGGCACATTTGGACTTGCCCAGGCAGAAGGGCATTTCTGGAGCAGGAACCAAGATATTGCTGAAAACGGGATCGTAATTCTCCGGTAGGACCTGAGGATTTTTCACCATGACTCCCAGCACATGATTGCAGATTTCTTTGGAGATGTCGCCCCGCAAGTACAAGAACATGGAAACGTGGTCCTCACTGGAGGAAAATAATAATAATAAAAAAGCAGGTTCCAGAAGGATAACCACGTTATCTTTTTTTACAGCAGACACGAGAAAAGACTTCAAAACTAACTGATTATCATGTCAGTTTATATGGATCATACGCCACCTCATAAGCAGCACTGAGGGATGGCCCAAAGGGAGAAATCTCTCAGAGATATAAGATAGCACACAAACACACACACACACACACACACACAAACACACACACGGAAATGGCTTTTTCTTTGGTTTCTTCTTCTGTCAACTATGGAGGAAAGCCTGCAGATTAATGAAGAAGGGATTTTTCTGCCGGATAGTTTATTTGTTATCAGCTTTCTCTGCTGCGGTTTTCTCCAGCCCCAGCCTGCCCTCTGGATACACTACAAAGGCCTGCATGATCCCAACAATACAGCGTGCATTCAGTCTCTTGAATGGAAACTCCTGGAAAATCTTCTCACTTTCTGATTAGGGATGGAACAGTAGCAGGACAGAAAGATATTGTACTTCTAGAAGGGAATATTTATAGCAGTGGTTCTCAACCTGTGGGTCGGGACCCCATTTGGGGTCGATTGACCATTTCATGGGGGTCGCCAAGCAAGGCTGTCCACCATTTTTTTTGTCCGCCATTTTTTTGTCCGCCATTTTTTCCCCCCTTTTCCGGCGGGTGCCTTACCTCCCTTGGGCTGGGCCAGCTGGTGGTCGGCCTGCTCCGTCCCTGCCGCTTGCCAGCTACGCCTCGGCCGGCGCAGGGGGTGGAACCACGCATGCGTGGCGCTCCCGGGCAGGGAAAGTCCTCGACTTATGACCGGTTGGGTAGTCCTCGACTTACGACCGGTTTAGTCCTCAACTTACGACCGGTTTATTCCCAACTTACGACCGGTTTAGTCCTCGACTTACGACCAGTTGGGGTCGCAGCATTAAAAAGGTTGAGAACCACTGATGTATAGCTTAAGGTTGGGCTGTGAAGTCCTGGATGCTCTCAGAGCTTGGTTGTTTTCTTGCAGACATTTCATTACCCAACTAGGTAACATCTTCAGTGCCAGAAGAGTGCTCTCTGTTCATGTACAGGGGCTAGCCCTGTCAGTGTTGGTGGGAGCGTTCACCGGTATATAAACAAGCTCTGAGAGCACCAAAAACTCCACGGATATTGTACATATTGACCCGTTTGTAAGCTCCCTTTTCTAATGACTTCCAGTTATTAATAATACTAGCTATGAAACTAAAAGGAAATGTAAAGATGATAACACTTCATAATAAATAAAACAATCAAGTGCCATTAATGATCCCTAATTATCCCTACGGTCCCTAGTATCTGGGGTTAAAGGAACATTATAGCAGTTTCTGAGTTTCTCACCCAGTCCCCAAATGCGGATTTGATGCCAGAGGATGTTGCAATTAAAAGATGGGCATCCTACCTGATATCGGGATATTTTGTCATGAATCCCAGCACTTCCAGGCCAAGCATAGAAGGATCCTTGACACTGATGATCTGCTGCAGATCTGCAATGACTTTGAGGGACAGTTTGTCCTCCTCCAAGCCCTGGGAAGGAAAGAAAGCCGGGCAGCTCAAAACCAATACGTTCACTGACTTTTAAAACAGATTAAAATTCAACGCTGCAATTTCATACCCACAAAACAGACGTTTCCAAATGATGTAGGGGAGAATGGCAGAAATGCAATCAAGGAAGACTGTCGGCAGTCGGCATAAATAGACCAAAAGAAACCACAAGAAAGTTTTCATGCTATAAAAACAGCCAACCAGAAGTAAAATTGCACATATTTATTTATATTGATTTGATCAACAAACAAACAAACAATCAGACACATTTGGAATCACAAATGTTTTTTTTTCCTAGTTGACTGTTTTTTATAGCATGGATACTTTATTGTAGTTTCTGTTGGTCTAAGCCAACTGCTGCCATTTTGATTGCATTTTGATTTAATTGCAATGGCCACAAATCTAATAAATCAAACCATTAATTATTATTTTTTGGCAATTCTCCCCTACATCACTTTAAAACGTCTGTTTTCTGGGGATGAGATTGCAGTGTTGAGTTTTAGTCTATTTTTAAAAGGGCAGAATTAAACCACACAAAATCCTTGTGCTTATTGCCTCTCCAGTTGTAGTAGTCATTTCCCCTTACCCTTGGTTGGTCAAAATAGACTGCCTCTCCCCAGAGATTTCCACCACCACCACCCCCTTTTTTTTTTTTGCAGTATTTCTACCCAGGCTGGAGAGGTTTTTCCACCCCACCCCTTTCTCACCAAGGCAGAGAAGAGTTCCTTCAGCTGAGCGGTGTCCTGCAGCATCCTTGTGGACATCTTACTCCTCTCCTCGGCTGTTCGACACGTCATTCGTTTCTGTAAAAGGGACTTCACATACTGGCTCATGACCAGGTGCTCAGCTTCTGACAGCAGGTACTGAGTGGGCATTATAAGGAGAAGGAAAAAGAGACGTGATGTTTTGTGGATACGGCCGAAATCCTATTTGTTAGTGTGTGCCCTCACTAACTAACTTGGATTGTGATGAGCTGAAACTTAGGAATCTTCACCGGAGTGATGGTTTCCCTTTGTCTCTTGTTTTGGTAACAGACTGATCTGGTATCGGGCTTATGATGACCTCAGAATGATGCTCCCACTTTCAGGAGTGGATCGATCTTCCCCACCACTGATGCCCCCAGAGGTGGCCAGGATCTTACCAGGCTGTTAGGTTTGTGAGTTCTGCAGAAACCGTCCGCGTGTTTGTCGATCACCTCGCAGATGCTGTTCATCAGCTGAAGGTCATCCAGCAGCCACTGGCGGGAGGGCAACTGGGCAAAGAATGGCTGGAACAGACCACAAGAGAGACCGAGTCTTCTCTCCTCTTATTTAGGGGAGCTCAGAACAGAATACCAGGTAGCAAAAGAGAGAAAATTCTGCTAGCTTTTAAATAAAAGTTAATCTATTTGAGATTAGCGCCGTCAGTATCAGATGCAAGAGTAGACTCAGAAAGAACAACCGGTACGGACATCTGCAAACATAGGCGCTGAAAAAAACCAATTGGTTTGCCGTGATCTATATTACAATGGGGCGCAGTGGCTCGGAACTTAAAAGACTCTGAACTTGTCAGCTGGAAAGCTGACAGCCTGGGTTTGAGACCCAAGCATCGTGAGACGGGGTGAGCTCCCGTTCCTTGCCCCAGCTCCTTAGCAATTCGAAAGCATGCAAATGCACATAGATAAATAGGTACCATTTCGGTGGGAAGGTAACAGCTGCCTTTGGACAAGAAACGGAGTTGAGCACAGCCTCACGACACGACTGGACAGGGGAAAACTTTACCTTTATGTTATAACATGCATAGGAATTACTGGATGAACTGTTTATATCAACATCCAGTGAAATACAGCTTTTGACCATTGGTTTGTTTCAGCCTTACGTGCTATGTAGGGTGCAGTTCTCGCTTCTCAAGTGGTGGTGTGTACTTGCACAAGGCAGCTGGAATCTGCTCTGTTTGTGCCAGATACGTAGCAATCAGTAATCTGGTTCAGGTTGCAAGCTAAGCCATGAATGGTTTGATCGTGGCGTATTGAATAACCACTGTTAATTAGGTTCTCCAAGCACCCCAAGCCAAAACCACACCCACTGCTACGTGTGATCCTGAACGAGGAGTACCTTCAAGTCAGCCAGCATCTCCTCCAGTAGAAGTTGGCATGCCTTCTTCTGAGTTTTCTCTAAGGCCGTGTGTAGAGTTGGTAGTATCCTGGCAGGCCCTTCAGATGGCAACCCATTGGCACACAAGGCTGAGATGGAAGAGCTGCCAGCAAAGAGAAGAGAAATAATTAAGAAGGAGCCTTCTGGCTGATGGCTAAGAAGATGACGAAAATGGAGCCTGGAAAGAGAGACAGAATACCAGAAACAGCTTTCGGGAATACCTGAGAGCCAAGCAGTTGTTGACAGTGGACAACAATCTTGCTGTGTAGTATGTAGATGCCATGGGCTCTTGCTGGTGTGCTTTGCAAAATTCCACCAGTTTCTCATACAGGCTGCAGAAAGGAAAGATACATACATCATAGAGACCTATATTTCCAGCTTGCATGTCAACCCCCTTTCCCACATGGCTGTAGAACCACCGAGAAGCTGACCTAATGGTGGACAGGACCAAGATGGATCCAATTATGAACCAAGAATTTTCAGAAATGAACTTTTGACTTGATTCAGCTCAGAGGTGTCTACGGGTTGGGCCCAAAGATCCTTCTCCTGCCGTGTTGAGCTCGTAGTAGACAGGCCATCCTGTCTTTTGGAATTAGTCAGAGTACAAGATGAAACTGACCTGCCCAAAAAGGCCTCCAGTTCTCCCAAAGCCATTTCCAGAACTTTCTGCTGGAAAATCCCAGAGATGAGCGATACCACTTTAACGTTTTCATCAAGCATCTGAGATATTTAATGGGAAAGAGAGAGAGAGAGAAAAAAAGAACAGATGGGGAATCGAACTCATGATTTGGCTTTTACAGCTAAAAATATCTTCTTTGTTCCGTTAGCTAAGTCTTCTCCTTGCCTCCCCAATTCCTCCTAACCTTCATGGCAATGATAGGCAGATTGGTCTGGAAGAAGCCTTGATAGTCAGATTCAGGTTCTTTTCCACAAAGCCATTCCTCAAACTCCATTTCTAGAGCCTTCTGCATCCATTCTGCAATGCTAGCCTAGAGGAAGGAAACAAAATGAGATCCAGGAATCCTGACCCTTTGAAATGAACTAAAGGACCAGCTCTTTTAGGACTTTCCACCTGTTCCAATTCATTTGTCTCATTTGGTCTGCTTAAACCCACTCAAATCAATTGCCATAAACAGTGTAGTGCCTTGACTTGGCTGCAACCTTTCCATCTCCCGTTTTCAGTTTTCTCCATTGCAGTAAAATGGCTGCAAAACTCAGCCCATCTCCCAGAGGCTGCTGGTGTTCTACCATTAGGTCAACCTCCAGATCGGAGTGTGAATCAAGATTCCTGAAGAGGATTTGAACTCCCTCCCGTGATAATGTTAGAATAAAAATTTTATGTTTAGGCAGGAAAAATCAAAGGTACAAGTACAGATTGGGCGAGACCTGGCTTAAAAACAGTAACTGTGAGAAGGGCCTTGGAGTCCTAGTGGACAATCACTTGACTATGAGCCAGCAGTGTGCAGCAGCAGCCAAAAAAGCTAATACAATCCTAGGTTGTATAAACAGAGGCATAGAATCAAGATCACGCGAGGTATTAGTATCGCTTTATAAAACCCTAGTAAGACCACACCCGGAATACTGCAGCCAATTTTGGTCACCATATCACAAAAAAGATGTTGAGAGTTTGGAAAAAATTCAGAGAAGAGCAACTAAGATGGAGATTAAAACATACAAACAACGGCTGCAGGACTTGGGTTTGGCTAGTCTAAAGAAAAGAAGAAATAGGGGAGACATGATAGCAATGTTCCAGTATTTGAAGGGCTGCCACAAAGAGGGGGTCAGGTTATTCACCAAAGCATCAGAGGGCAGGACAAGAAACAGTGGTTGGAAACTGATCAAAGAGAGAAGCAACCTGGAATTAAGGAGAAACTTCCTGATAGTGAGGACAATTAACCAGTAGAACAGCTTGCCCCCAGAAATCGTGGGCGCTCCATTACTGGAGATTTTTAAGAAGAAGCTAGACAGTCACTTGTCTGAGATGGTATAAATTGTTCTGCATGAGCGGGGAGCTGGACTAGAAGACCTCCAAGGTCCCTTCCAACTTTATTCTATTCTATTCTAAACTGCAATATTGTGACTTGTAAAAAATGTGGATGTAGATAATAGAGAGTCTTAGAATGTCTGCTCAGCATCTCCAATGGAAAGCAATCCCAGGTAGTACAGGAAAAGAAGTTGCCTAAAACTTTGGATTAACCTTCTCACAGTAGCCCATAGACTCCAGTTCAATCGCTGCTAAATACATTCATACCTCCTTCCGTGCCCACAGATAATTGGATTTTCAAAAACCCTGACCCTGATCTTCTAACTCACCTGTACTTTCCCCAGATAAGACTCTTCCAGAGAGCCTATTGTATCTGCTGGAAGCATAGGACCCAAGGCTGAGACGTCCACTTCAGGAAGCAGATGTGGGTGAGACATCATTTCAGAACTGATAAAAAAGGGGAAAAGTCAGGTCAAAAATGCAGAAGTAAGCTTTTCGCTTTCCTGCAACATGCCAGCCTGGATTGGATATATACCATGAGTCAAATTCTAACATGCACCCATGTTGGATTCCTTCTACTGAGGCATAATGGACTCGGCGTATATATGGATGTTACAATCATCAATATCATCTCCAGAACTTCTTCCTAAAAAGTATGGAAGCGCCTTTGCCTCACGGCCTTCGGCACCCACTAACAACAGCACCAACCTTGGGTAGACATGGATTGCCCAGTGGAGCAGAGCAAAGATCTCTTGTTTGTCTAGTTCCCAGGTAAGAATGTGATGCAGGTGCTTGCTTAGGCCTTGATGGAACATGGTGGCAAAGGCCGTGAGGATGTCGTAATGAGGAGGGCAGCACTGGACCATCAAATCTTTCACGATGCACAATTCAGTTAGGATGCTACTCTGCAAGGATGCCAAATGGCTACTAAGCCACTGGCCTTGAGTCTTGTTTGGCTCAGCCTGGAAACAGGAAGCTACGATCGTGTCTTGAATGACTTGGAAGAATTTCCTTCTCCAACATTTTGGGCGTCCCGGTGGGAGGAAGCCATGAGGCTGGGACCTCAGCAGCACGTCGGCATCTATGCTTTCCTCTCTCTCAATGATCCGTACAGCTGATACAAAAAGGGATGGATCCTCTGACACCAATTTTGTGGCATGGGCAACTGTGTGCCACAGATGCTGGGCCAAGGCATCGTTCAGTTCCAGGAGACCTCCGAAGTAGGATTCAATGCTGGTCAGATTCAAGGAGCTGAGCAGGTTGCGGTTATGCAACTGGGATAGGATGCTATCCCGTAAACTCTCCAAGTCCATGAGCCCTAGATGAGCTTTCAAGAGGTTCTGGCTTTGTAAGAGATTGAAAGTTTCTGAAATGAGTTGAGGTACTGCAGGGAGAAAAGTAAAGGAGAGACAGGAATTGAGCGTAAGCTTTCCAAATCGAAACCTCCAAAAGGAAAGGAAATGAAGACAATATTGAACAGTGGTTGGTACTCCGAGCAGAGGAAAAACTACATACTTTCATCAATCCAATAGAACAGGGGGTGTCCAATCTTAACCCTTGGCAACTTTGAGACTGTGGATTTCAACTCCCAGAATTCCCAAGCCAGCCAGCCAGTCTTAAAGCTGCCAAGATTGGACACCCCTGCCTTAGAAAAAAAATGGGATAAAAAAAATCAATCAATCAATAAGCGTCATTTGTTGAAACGAAGTCACAAATCATGAAACGAAGTCACAAAGTCACCAAATGTTGATTTCATGAAACTTCCTTCTATCCCTAGTTTTTGACTGTGGTGTTTCCTACAATATGTTGTATTTTCTTCGTGGCAGGCAATTAGAATTTCTTTTGGTAAATTATTAAAAAAAAAATCAGCCTACTTCCCACAATTAAACAGCCCCTTTAATTTCATGTTAGATTTTTTTACATCTTGATATAAAAAGACAGCATAAAAACATTGGGCTCCAGTGGAACATTCATTCTTTCAAAATTGTACTTAAATTTGTACTGATCAAGAGAGCAATGAAAATAATAAAGAACGAGGAGGAAAAAAACCTCCAGAAACTGTGCTGGAGTGAAAACTACTCTGATGTAATTAGGAATACACAAACTTCCATTCCTGGTTCAATGCCTCTGCAAAATTTTGGGAACTGAAGTCCACATTTGGTCTTTGAATCAAAAGCCTCACTCCAGAAGTTTGCTGGGGCCAAAAGAAGAATAAAAATTTCATGTTGCTGACATTTAATTAAAACTGAAGTAATAATAACATTCTGTTAGTAAGACTATTCCCCCTGTTCTTAACACTTTCCCCTTTCTGAGACAAATATATACATAATTCGGCGGCTATTCACAAAAGGGCTCTGAAATTCAATCTAAGGTTTTCATGGGGTCTAGGGCAGGGGTAGGCAACCTTGGCTCTTTTATGACTCGTGGACTTCAACTCCCAGAATTCCTGAGCCAGCATGGCTCAGCTTGGAAACCTCTCCCTTTCCCCTCAGCATGGCTGGCTCAGGAATTCTGGGAGTTGAAGTCCACGAGTCATAAAAGAGCCAAGGTTGCCTACCCCTGGTCTAGGGACAGATTCAGAGTGTGTGCTTCTGTGTTAAGGATTCTTCACCTCTGGCTGTCTGCCATAAAATTTTGCAATGCATTTCGGAGTAGCCTAACGCAAGGCACAAGTCACCTGAGAAAAGCTGGGGCAACATCTGGACCACTGCCTCCAGCTGGTCATGCTTCATGGCCAGTTCTCGTAGCTCCTGTAAGCTCCGAAATGAATCGAGGCATGACGTGAGGTCCTTCTGAATGCTCCCCAATTCTTCTTGAACATGCTGGACATCAGTGAGGGCAGAATGCAGCTCCTCCAGGCCCGTGTTCATGCCTTCCAGGTAGGACTGAGCAGTGGACTAGAGGCAAAGCCAGACGTAAGTCATTACAGGTGCAAACCCCAATCCTGTAAGTCCTCCTCCTCCTCCTCCTCCTCCTCCTCCTCCTCCTCCTCCTCCTCCTCCTCTCCCCCACTTCTAGCACTGATAATGTCACCTAGTTGGGTAATGAAACTTCTGCAAGAAAACATCCAAGGTCAGAGACCACCAAGATCCCTACAGTTCTCCTCATCTTCCTTCTCTCCACAAACCCTGCTCCCTCTAGCCCCGATGATGTTATCTAGTTAAGTCCGTAAGAAAACAACCCAGCTCAGAGACCACCAAGGACCCTTGGACTTTATGAAATTACCCTGTGACGCTTACCTACCTTTAGGCGGGATTCAATGAACCTGTTCCGCTGCACCTCCCGAATCTTGTACTGCGGAAGACTATCCAGCTTGTCTGGTTGGTAAAACACCCCAGATGCCCACTTCAAGGCAGCCCCTCTTGCCAGCTTCTCTGCTTTTTCCAGTTCTGGCCATTCTCCCTCTAGGGCAACAACAATGAAAGGAAGTAAAAATCCAGGCGGTGTGTTTTTCACCAGGCAGGAATGCTTCATCTAAGGACGCAGGAAGGAAACGGGAAATGAATGCATAACTTTGGAGCTGGTGGACCATCAGCTCTGGTTCCTAAGCTTGAAACACAAAAGATCTCTCTGGGAGAGGTTCTTGCTACAAACAGGAGGCTGTGTTTGAGGGAGAAGAAAGTGATTGTAGGATTGTAACTATTCCCACCATGGTAAGAAGGCAATGAAAATGCAGCCTCCCAAGACTGGGACGGCCAAGCTGATTCCCAAGCAGAATTAAATGATGATGTCAATACATCTGGGATGACACCAGCTGATCAAGACCTGTTCAGGCTGAGTTGTCCCCTAAACCAACATTTTTAAAAGCGAGAGATGGAGGAGATGTGTGGAACGTCGCCAAATTAAAATAGGTTGAACTTTCTGTTCCAACATAAATCAGATTCCCGTTTTGTCCTGGCTCCAACCACGAAGTTTGGGAGTTAGGTTCCTGCATCCCCCTGTACGGAATAAAATTATCCTTTTGCTGCTATTGCTGTGGAAAAGGTAAAAGATAAGAAGAAACAGATCGATATACAGTAAGTGGGTGACTTGCGTATTTGGCTGTTGCTTAGAAGAAAGGATTATATATCCCATGCTGCCCTTAAAAAAAACTCCCAACCTTCATTTCTCAGTTGTTACCTCTGGGACGGGTGGAACTGCTGTCCTCGGCAGACATTCCCATGACTTCAGTTGTAGCAGGATACCCCGGTTCAAAGCTTAGGACTGGACGGGGCTGAGCAGAGGAAGCCGAGGCAGTGAATAGCGTTTCCGTCAGTTAATACTCCTCATGACTCCTTGGGGGTTTGCTCTATAACACTGAAGCAAAAACACTCAGGATGTTGGAATAGGAAGGCGGGGGGGGGGGGG